CTCTTGTTTCTTCTAATTCAAGCGTTATTTTCGCGTGAAAATGAAGCCTTATACACATCCATTTCATTCCTATACCAAAATTTATCAAAATTGGTTTAGAGGATTAGGCGTGTAAGGGGGTTTATTTACCATTTATATTACGCAATATGGATTATATAAGAAGTATTATATTTGAAATTTTGCTTTGTCTCGTCGTTATGGATATTTACGGGTTATGTCTCAAAACGAAAGTTCGATTTTTTTTCAAATCCATGTTTGCAAGTAGTTTATTCGTGCAAGGAATTACACCTAGCAGTCCGATACTTTTGATATGGTGCCACATTGCCCAGACTTTATAAATAGGCATATAAATGAGTGTTGAAAAACCTCTTCCTCGCATCCTCCGCACTATGGTTCGCTTCATCAGACCTCTCTATAAAATAAATACAAACACAACGTTACTCCATTTTTCAATATAAATCAAGACCGCGTTTTAGATTACTTATATAATAAACCAGCTGCCAGTCCCCCTGTCCGTCCATTGTTTAAAATAATTTCCTTAATTTTCCTATTTGTTAATGGAATTTACTTACCTGCACTGGTAAGTGAGTAGTCGGTCCATTATAAGTATTTCCTTTGCGACCAACCCAGTATGGAAGATAAGCAATTGCTTTTGCCACAAACTTAGCCAAGAGGGATTGTCGGGAAGTGTATTTAATTTAACTATAAACTCATTTATAATATCCCGTAGTCATGTAGTTTTAATACAAAAATTATGAAACCAAAATCCATATATACAACGCAATTGTGCGTAGTTACCTGGAATATTGCTCGCCAGTGTGGAATCCGCATTACGATGTGTACTCAAAACGAACAGAGCAAGTCAACGCTTCTTGCGGCATTTATCTTTCCAGCATCATTTTGCTTAAAAATGCCTAGTTATGAGGAACGGCTGCGACATTTCAGGATGAGGAAGTTGAGTGACAAAAGGAAACTATTGGATCTCATGTTTATATTTAATGTTGTAAATAACAAAGTTGACTGTCCATCTTTGATTTTAAAGATAAGTTTTAGTGCACCTTTTAAGCTCAGGCGACCCTCCGCTTACTATAGTTTTCACTGAAGTGCTTTAGAACGAACTTAGGTTTATTGAACGAACAGCTTTTTAATTCGAATGTGTAAGTCTTATAACGGTATGGTTAAATTGGACAAAGGTCTGGACATTTTTGGTAGTAGTACTATTTCTTTTAAACATAAAGTAAATAAACTTATTAAATCTTCCTGATTCTTCGGTTCTCGTGTCCACATTTGTTATGTTGTAATTGTATTCCTATAAAAATATTGTGAAATTTTGTGATATGATAATATTGCTGTCGTCATTTTGATTATTTTAGATTGCCATAATTTCAAGACAGGACATTAGTATACTTATTTTTAAATTAAATCATATTTGTTTCTTAGGGTTTCACGTACAATAAAAAAAAAGAAAAAAAAGGTAGTTTTATTAAATAATATTTATTTGTATTCTGCGGTATATTTATATTATTGTTTTCTTATTGATTTCACTTAAGATTATGCTGAATAATGTTCAATGCCTTGTTTTGTAATGCATGCGGTGGTGACGTTTAATTAAGATAGCATCTAATTATCGCTGATGCTTGTATCTTGATATCTTGTATTGGTGTATATCTTGTTGGTCGTCCTTAAATAAATAAATAAACACTTTCAACAATGTCATTATTATTCATTTAAGTTCTTGGTTAAAAGGTTTGCGAAGTGTTTTCCGGTTCGTTATGACTACATCCTGCACATCGCGCTGTGTAAATTTGATCACGCTCTGCAACAAGGTTTTAATAAATTAACGAAAGTGGATTGCCACAACCGATGTGAGTTGGCAAACCCAACAAAAGTTGTTATTAAATAATGATTGCAAGTCATTATAGTTACTGTCAATCATTGGGAGAAATAAAAGTCAATATAGGAGTTTTTTTGTAATTTTTCAGAATAAACTTTAAATATAAGTAGTAACTAATATCAGCATTACCTTCCATAAATATAAGATGTTCTTTAACGGAGGAAGTTTCAGTATGCTGTTGTAAGTGATGGATATACCCAGCAGATACCGAGTTTTCTGCCGCTTGATCTCGCAAATACTGCGATGCCTCGAACAAACTTTTGATGAGATATTGATTTTGCTAAGTTAGCCCACAATCTTGGTTGTTCGAGAAAATGATATTCCGCCGTTATTGCACTACCACAAAATAAAGTGTATGTTTTGTTAAATGCCTTATTCTATGGCCATCGCAGAAAAAGTCACAGAATCAAATTATGAAATTTCAAAGTTTATTGACGTGTCTACATCTCACATAAATACAAACTACTTAAGTGGTGGAAAGTGTAATTAACAATCAAGCTCATTATTTACTCATCTTTTCATTATCTATTATCATATTTTACATTATCAAGCTCATTATAGATTACTCTTTTGACTGGGTTCTAAGTATGATAAACGATAAACTTACATTATTTTAGATGCTATTAAAAATTGAAGTTAAATCAAGGCGTTACCTATATATTTAATGCATGTAAATTTTATAGTTAACTACTACTTATTCGAAAAGTCATCTTTTGCTTATGTTCTTTTTAGTAGTTTAGGGGTAAATATAAAATTCATTTACTATTTATTCGTCGACTATCTAAAAGTGGCAGTTGCTGCATTGTCAACGCCCGGCTTTAAGATTGTGATATATACAAATGCAGTATCATATTCTACTCTCATAATTTGTTTTACCTATACAATTCACAGAAACCAAATATGTACATGCCAGAGTTTTACTTCAAACGTTGTTAATCACTCTTTAATCAATTTCAATAAATGACGTTAATGCCGCAGGTAGAAAAAAGCAATTATTCCCGTCTGTTGTTTGAACACTGGTGGCAACTGCCTTAGATCGCTAAATTAAATAATTATACAATCAGCAAAACAAATTTTATAATATTTGATTAAATTAAAGCGTAGAATAAAATATATTCCATAGCAACATAGCAAATCTGATTTATTATCAATTTATCACGTAATGTATATTCTTTGTCGTTCTCTTTTAAAGCGTTCACAATTTTCTTTTCAACTTAAGATTTCAACAAACAAGCTCTTGAACTACTGAACCGATTTTAAAAATTCATTCACCATAAGGTAGATAGTAGCTACAAATAATGTAATAATTATATTTTCAAGCATTAATATCAATATCGTTGATTAATCTGCTCGATTTATAAATCTAAAGAAAACTTTTACTTGAAAAAATCCACTCTGATAACTTCTCCGAGAGGAAACTTTTCTAGTAAACATTTTCTTTGTAACTGCATTATCCGAGTAACATAAACTAGATAAAATATTTATCTTTAAAATAAATATGATTTATTTTAAAGATAAATATTTTTATTGATATGATTATGACGAATTTCCCTAAAGAAATAGATGAGACCTTGGTTCTAAGCTACGTTATCGAAATACTTATAGGCCCCCCTCAGGTTCGAGTGGTCTGGAGGCTCCAGACGGAGAGGAGACTCCCCCCGTGGGGAGACGCCATCCGACTGGAATACCTCCAGAGGCACTCGCCAATTCTCGGCTTGAGGTCCCCTTAGGATCTCGCCGTCCCCAAACCCGGTGACGCTGTAAAGGTCATCTGCGACCAACAGCATACACACTCAAAAAACTTATAGTGGTAAGGTGATGGAAGGGGTGATTTACCTGTAAAACTTTATATTATTTGCTCCGAATTGCGCAGGATTATCGTTTATAATTACAAAAACACAGCGAGCTGATTAATAAAGACAGGAAGTCCATTGTAGTATGTACCTACTAGCGAATAATAGTCTATTTTTTATTGTGTTAAGTAACGCTTTAGTAGCATGAATTAATATCGCTACAATAAATTTTGAGGTTTTTATTAAATTTCAATTATCATAAATACCCGTTATGATAATTTATTTTTCATCATTTAATAAGAAGGAACTGTATCATAGATTTATTGTAAGAACTTCGTATAGAATTAGATACTGCGAGTAGCCATTTCTTTTCTTTTTCTCTTAGGTCTTACCGACGTTCATAATCACAAAAATTCATCAAAATTTCTTCTCCCACTATTCCCGCAGTCTATTCCTGCATAGTACACCCCGCTATCACTTTGTCATCGTTGTAACTTTTTAAATATTTGTCGAAATGACATAGTGTAAAAGTCTTTAAATATCGAAAGAGATATTTGTTTTGATAAAAAATATTTTTTTAATACAAAATGTGCATTTTGGAAATGGATATTAAATAATATTTTATTTTTGAATTACTGTTTTAGCGATAATGGCTTAGACATTAAAATAGATATATGATATCGCGGAAATAGGCCAAAATGGCTCGCAGATGGGAGACTTTTTTATTGTTATGATATCGCCAATTCACTCAATAACTACATTATTATCATTATGTTATTATTATGTATGAGCTATATTATTGTTAAGTTTCATTAAAATCCATTTAGTATTTTTTACGTGAAAGAGTAACAAAGATCCATACAAACGTAAGATTGAAATTAAAAGCGCAAGTTGTCAATATACAATTTTTAATCGTTGTAGATCCTAAGCAGTCAATTTAAATAAAAATTGGTATAAGGTACCTAAACATGATTTTCGATTATATAGACAATGATTCGACGTATTTCGTCGACCTTTTTTTTTTCTTTCTCACAATATGGCGCCTAGTTATCCCCATATTGAATTTCGATTACTATCATATCTTTAGTAGCACTCCCATGACTATGACGAATCGATTGACGTATTATTCACCAAAATCGGTCCACGCGTTTGGTCTCTAGTATGCATAAAGGAACATACATAAATATATAGACTATCAAACACTATAATACCCTGTCTGCGCGTCGCGCATCGTGCTCTTGCATTGAGCAGTCGGGTAAAAAAAATACACTTCTGATTAGCGTTAAATGATGATGTTCATTTATTCCATATAGCATCTTCGGAAAGGGTCATGCGGACGAAAAAGCCGACGAAAAAACCCCGGCGGGGTCAGTGAATCTTCTGGATGACACATTGCTGGAGTCACCGAGCTCAGTGGCCGATGACAAGATGTCCCAGTCGCTGCCACATAGGTTAGTTACTTTCTACTTATTTTATGCACTTATACGTTCCCACGATGTTGTTGTTGTGTTTTCATCAATAAAATGTTATAAGTTTATCATAAGAGTTGTATATAAAATCGTAAGTATTTGGGCTGAGTGTTTTTCTAGTAAAAATTTCTTAAGCTATAAATATTTAGCAGTTTATATCTTAAAATATAAATATGAAATGGTTACAATATTTTTACTTGTATTGTATGCAATACATTTAACTATACATGGTTCACGAGATGTGTAATTGAGGCACTTTTAAAGAAACAGCAAAGGTATCACTATCATCTATCAATAGGAGGCAATATAGGACAGCCGTTTTCTACTTACTCAGGAACTCGGAAATAAATAACGGCGCTAAGTTCAGTGTGCTCGTTTCTCGCTTGTGGTAGTTTTAAATATAAAGTAGGCTAGGTTACAAATAGAAACCGCAGCTTTATGTGAGACCGACTCGCACAAGAAGAATTTCGTACCATTGTACAAAATTTATAACCAGTGTGAGCAAAAAACGTCTAAAAATTATATTTGAGTATTTAAATATTATTAAGTTTTATTACTTGCCGTTAGCAGCAAATGAAATACACATTCTGTGAAAATTTAAGCTAACTATAACTGTACCCTTACCACGAACCATTATTAAATTCGAATAGTTGAATTCGATCTATTTTATACGTTAAATGTTTACTGATTTTTAATTCTCGTTACATTCGTTGTGGTGCTGCTGTTCAAGTTTCCATAAAAAAATTGACAGTGACATTTCGTACTTGCAATCTATTCGAATTCGATAATGGTTCGTGCTAGGGGTACTATTCTTAAGATACAACCCAGTAAAAGACGGACGTACCAGACATGAGAGCTTAGATAATCAACTAAGGATTCTTTGACTGTTTTCAATATTTAAAATCTTAATGTAATTTACCAAAGTTACCATTTATCCGATTTGTGTTCCCTTTAGCGATTTAACGAGGACGGAGTCTATGGAATGCGAATTTCAAGGTTTCGTGAGGCGGAAAACCATTCTAAAAGACGGCAGGAAAATCTCTCTTTCATCGTGGCAGAGATATTGGCTACAAATGTCCGGGAATATTCTTGTATTCTACGCCTCGAAGTCGTTCAAAGGGTAAGGCGACTGGATTTATTCTTATAAAGTGCAAATGCAAACTTTCGTACGTCTACGTGGAAAGTTGTGCTTGAGATGCGATCAAAGTTTCTTCTTGTTGTACAAATTATCACGCGACTGCTGCTGTCAAAAACACCACTGGAACTAGCTGGTGTCATTTCTTCAAATAAGGATAGTTTTTAAAACGACAAGTCTCGTGAACTATGGTGTTTTTATCTCGCAGAAAGTCTCTGATGAGTATGCCATTAAATGTTATACATAGTTCGATCCTTTCTAAAGTAATTCACTTATTAGTTGAGATGTGCATATATTTTACTTTTACAAAGATTGAATTTTGCATACTGAATAAAATTTCTAAAGTGATTTACGCAGTTTATTTTACACAGTTAAATCTCATTCATTAATTAATTTGTAAAACCGAAAAACGCTTTGAGTGATTCCCGATAATCTCTCTCTCTATCTTCAATTGCTTTAATTAAAATCGTTTCTGTTGTACGTATTTTGTTGGTGAATGAAAAAAAAACCGATGTATTGCTTGGTATTTGCTGGAATATTTCGCATTTGAATAATGGCATTTTGTACAGGACTAACCGTAACGATTTCCGTACGGAGCGGTGTAAGGTCCTGGCACTGGACGGCTGGGTCGCCACATGGAGCGCGGGAGACGCCACTGATGCATTTCAACTGGTCAACCATCACGCGGGTACGATGTACAAATTCAAGTGAGTTATTCTTAAAATTATATAAACTTTCTTTTTTTGCAGTTTTTGTAAGCTTTCATAGCTTTAATCGCGGGCTTTGAGCGCGACGACCGAATCAAGAAATTCCGTAACGAAAATAAACCTAACATGCTTCGTCTTACGTCGTTTCAGTTCGGCAGACTTCGGTACGGTGTTTGTGTGCGTGCGATTAGACGTATGCGTATAGTCTACACAGACTAGCTGCTAACTGCTCATAACTGATTCTATCTCTTTTAGACACAATGCTAGATGAGACAGCGTGTTTTTGGCCGCGTCCACGAGTGAGTTCGCAGATAATAAAAATATTTAAAACAATAGTAACTTCTCATTTAATCAAAGAAAAAAAATATATAATTATAATTGCATAAGTTGATGAAAAATGCTATGCAATATACCGCGGCAGTCCCCGAGTGCCACACGTATTTTTTATGTTTAAAGGGTGGCAAACAAGCGTATGGCCCGCCTGATTGTAAGCGGCCACCATACCCATCCCGCATCTATAGATGCTTGCGGTACCAAAAATATCACTTAGTGTCAGCTCACACCGAAACGCGACGCGACGCTGCACGCTACACATAGGGACTCAAAATATAACTTTATTTACTACGCGAAAAGATTGTAGTGTTTTTTTTTTGGGCAGGGAGTTGCTGTATCTCTGACATTGACACTCATACTACTGACACATGTAGGACTGTTTTATCTATGATATCGAACCGCTTGATGTCAACATTACTGTCAAACTTCATTGGTTGGGTTGGTAGCATTGAAAGATTAGTATATTTTTTTCATTCGATTTAAAAATCGACTCCAAATTGTAAAAAAAACAACTAATCAGTTACTTTAATTTGTTGTGATGGATGGCCCTGTTGAATTTACCAAGTCTTAAATTTTGAATTAATTTTTTCATATCGATTTCAGTCTTCAATCAGGCATTTTTCCAAAGTAATATAAAAACTGCATTTTATTCGAAATTAAATTTCCTCGTTAATTTAGGTAGGCATTTTCTTTTCCTCTGCTTAGGGAGCTTAGGGAGTGACAGATTTGTATTGTTGATGCATCGATGCCTTGGCTTGGCTTGGCTGGATTCACTTGAAGAGAAAAAATCATAGACACAGATTTGGTATATTTATCTTTCTCTATGCTCAGTTTTCAAAACAAGATTCAAATTTCTCTTTATTGAAATCAAGTTCCGTTTGTCGCCGTATTTTGGAAACAAGAACAGATTATCTGCGATTATACTTGATAATTAGAGCCGAATCAGTTTGTGTCCTGGTGGATATTGACAGACATAGCGCGAGAACGCTAACCGAACTGTTAATTAATGTGAAAACATCCCGAAAGAGTCCCTACGTTCCCCTCAAGAACTAAGCCAAAGCAAACAGGCACTGAGGAGATTTTTTTCTTTATACACGGGCCAGGAGAGACGCGTGAGATTATAACCATAAAGGCTGCGAGCAGCACTCCAGTCGTATGTAATCCTGCCGTGACTGTGGATAAATCGTTTAACCTATAGTACTGAAGGTATTTCCGTAACTAACCCTGGGTGACTACAGGGCTGAAGCCCCGCGAGGTTGGACTACGCCCATTTCTACATATAACTGGTTGTCTTATCGAAAACAACAATTAACATATTGAATGAATATTAATTCAACATCACCAATATCGATAAAACGAGCCTCAGGATTCCTGATAAGTTTTTGTGAATGTGTAGAATTAAGAAAGGTCTATTGTTGTAGTCTCTTAATTGCCAGTAGGACTCTTAATAAAATAAAACCTTAGAATTATATTGTATTTTTACCCAAAGGTTTTTGTGAACGCTTAGAATTTGTAAAACTCCATTTTTGTAATATCTTAGTTACTTGTTAACAAGAGAGTAAGAAAAATATCTTCATTGTATAGTACTTATTAGCTTTTATGAATGCTTAGAATTAAGACAACTCCCTTTTTATAATATCTTAATTTTTTGGTCCCGGAGAGTTATAATCATAATCATAATCATAATCATAATCATAATCATAATCATAATCATAATCATAATCATAATCATAATCATAATCATAATCATAATCATAATCATAATCATAATCATAATCATAATCATAATCATAATCATAATCATAATCATAATCATAATCATAATCATAATCATAATCATAATCATAATCATAATCATAATCATAATCATAATCATAATCATAATCATAATCATAATCATAATCATAATCATAATCAAAATCATTTATTCAGTTTAGGCTGTTACAAGCACATATGAATTTCTAGAAGCTACGCCATCGGTTCGTAAATCTACGGCGGGAGACCTTGTACTGAGAAGAACCGGCAAGAAACTCAGCAAGGGCTGTTTTTTTCTCCCTGTTTTATTATTTACAGAGTCGTCAAATTGAAAAATGACTTCAGAGGTGATTCATGAAGTCACATAATTATTAAATATACATTAATTGTTTACCTGCATTTTGATTGCTGTGTCATACAGTATAAATACAAATAGTGTTATTTATATTCAGTGTGACTAAACACGACTAAACACTTATATTAATATTGTACTGACCTCTCCGGGATATTACCCCTATTTTTTTTGTTTTCTTTCTTTATTTTCATGGTTTTCTGAAGTAGGCTTGTCGGAGCAGGGGAAGGAGACAAATACCATTTCATTGTTTGAATTCAGAATACATTGCACCAGGCGTAATCTGAATTCAAACCATGAAATGTGTATCTTTTCGCGTAGTAAATAAAGTTATGTTTTGAGTCGCTCTATGCAGAGCGTGCAGCGTCGCGTCGCGTTTCGGTGGGAGCTGACGCATACACCCTGACCAATTCCCCGTCGCCCTATGACTTTGCTCACCGATAGAAACATAAGAACACCATAAGGTAATGTTATTTTACTGTGGTCTTCTGTAAGGTGGAGGTTCCCCAGACAGGTGCTCCAATTCGAGCGGAAAGTCCGCTATGCCCTACCTACCTACCTAACTCGTAATGCCGTTGGCATTATAAACATGCAAAAACTGACAAAGCTGCAGAGCATCATCACTAATTACTCGAATTCCAGTAACTATCTTCCCTTTACTTTTACGGACAAACTTAAACGGAATCAGCAGCGGGAGCAATTGTTTATATAATGCAGATACCAGGAAGTAGACTCGGTCGGATTAGCTGTTTATTCACAGCGGGCGGGAAAGCTAAACGAGGCGACCACTTTGTAACCAGTACCTGGAAGCCTGGAAGCTTTGCTTTGGATCAAAGTATAAATTCTATGAAAGCACTTTAGCCTCGACGTCAGTGCAATATTCTCTTTAGATGCAAAATATTCTCAGAATATTCTGCGAGTAGGGGAAGCGGTAATTGCGGTGCGGTGCATTTACTTCACAGAAGCGAGCATCGTGGCTAATAAAGCACTTGACCACCAAACCTATATATAACTTCATATAGCAAAACCTACAAGGATGAGATTCCTTATTTTTAAAATTTTGTCATCAGAGATATATATAAATGTTACCAACGTAACAAATGTCAAATACTTGTTAACAAAAAAAGAACTTAATACCTTTTCTGGAGATACAAAGGGGATAATAAATGCAAAAACAATCAACTAATATAAATTTTAAATTTCTAATATGATTTACTTTGTTTTTAAGCAGAAAATACAACCCAAATGTACGATTACTATAGTTGTTATACTTTTTACTTTTTTGTAACTTCTGTTTTATGTAACGATAACGCACAACGAAGCCTATTCGACGGTTCTCTAGAACGAATGCACAGGTGGTGTTAGCTCCAAGAAATACAGAACAATTTACTAAATAACGAGAGCTCGCAAGCTATGCATTGCTTAACAGTTGGTACGTCCCGCAAGCCTTTCTTGAAAATCTACTGCGTAACCCAGATAACGTAAAACACAAGGAAATTATTTTATCGTACGTCCTCTAATTAGAAACCTCTAGTTTGATTAATTTTACTAACTGATTAATGCTCTTTTATGTAAAAGAAGTTGTTGCTATTTTTTGTACTTGTATATATCTTTGGATGAGATAAGGTTATTTTTGATGTGTAACATCTTTGCTCTCGCTTTCCTGCAATTTGTGGGAGTAATGTCGTGCAATGGGACGGAACTACTGTAAGGCTCGCTCATTCTTATAATTCAATCTCGTCTTGTTCTATAAATATTCGACACAGAAAATAGCGTGCATTTAAAAAATCTTATCGTTGAAGTCTTACATTAAATTTGAATCGGCTATCTTTCTTTATAGTAAGATAATCGGGATTTACTCGAGCTTCGCGGGCACCTATTTTATTGTGATGGTTAGATGCTAAAATGAAAAAGTTTACCTGATCTGAATCTGAAGTCTGACCGCCCTTTTATGTTCAAAGTACCTTACTTAGAAGTTTACTTATCGATTGTGAAGCAGGTCCTTAGTATTGTCTGACTATCTTCGTTTCTAACATTTGGTATATTGTCGTAGAACTGGCTCTGAATCGGCCGCTAAGCAGTGGGTGAGAAAAATAGAGGAAGTTACGACGAAGATAGTGAAGCCCCTGCCTGCCAACCTCATGTCGTTCGAATAACTCACCGGCCTGTATGTACGTAACAGTGATTTAGTAAAAACACACTCACTTTACCTTATATACCTACTCTATACACACATATTATCTAAATACGCTCATCAAAAAAGTCTAAGCAACATTACCACTATAGTCTAAGGTACATATTTTGTTTAATTATAAACTCATAGGTATTCTTCTGTCAATAATAACTAATTTTATTTATAAGTGACTTGGATGGTTGGTGTTTCTTGGAGTTGATAATTGCTGTACCAGCTATCTTCGCGATTGGACTTTTATCACCACTTAACATCACGTGTGATAGAGTAATTTGCCTACCTGGCTAAATAAAAAAATGGTGACTAAACTTACAACGATAATATTAAATGTTAACTGATAAAACTTGCAGTTTGCGTGAAAGATGCATTTTGCTTAGACTCTTTTTGATGAGTGTACATTAAACATGCATATGTATACAAATTTGTAGTTAAGCGTATACAGAACAAAGCTTGTTGTCGTCGTTGATTTTATCAAACCAAGGGGTGTTTATTATTTTTATTTTTTATGATTATTATTTTATTGTTAACATATAATTTATTTTGTTATTATTGCCTATCCTATGCAGTATACTTACGTTACTTTGTGCTGTTCGCTGCTTTGGTGAAACTCGTAATTGCTATAACTACATATTAATATAGTTTTCTGAAAACATCACTAAAGATTTATGTTACTCTAGTTATGGTTGCAGTTTTGACGTCAAATATAGTTAAGTTTAATCAAAATCACAATCGACAGCACTATTTCTTATTAATATTAAAAGTTAATTTATTATATATTAATATATATCTATGAGTGCGACCGTAAATTATTATCTACTTAGATTATTAGGATTTTATTAGGATTTAAATAATGCAGTATGACTCGGTGTGTGTAAGTTAAATATACTAATCTACTTTCTACTTTGAATAATAGTTATCACAAAACAATACTCAACAAACTAGATCAAAATAAAAAATGAAACCGATTAAAAAAGATAAATTCTAGTCTGTACATGTGCATTCTTAGATAGTTATTGTTTCTGAATAAAGTAAACTTCTTTTACTAATTATTTTTAAGCGATCAATATAAAATAAATTACTTAAAACAGCATCAAACAACACAGGGTCCGCCTTTAAACGCCTATCTCACCAGGTCGGTGCAGGCTCATTATACTTTCGTTTCTGTGCCGAATCTGTACAGGTTCTTTACCGAATGCATGTAATTAAATGAGAGCTACCAAACTGAGTCGTTTTAGTACAGATTTTTTACTAAGCGTAATGTACCGAACCTGTAGAGATTTTTTACCGTGAACCACTTCTTGACCAGCTCGGATTCGGTGCGGATTCGTGAAGAGACGTGAAGAAGTATCTTTGCAGGCAATAAGTTGAAGATAGTTGGCGTGGTAGTTCAAAACGGCTGCACCAGCTATCTATGCATCAGCCCCCCGCGCATGAGCACCACGATATGATATAAAACGCGTTTTTATCACGCTCAATTGTCAAATTACGATGGATTCTGACATTTAGACGCGATAAAAAACGTAATATAATGTAAATTGTGGCGTTCATGCTACGGCGACTGGACTTGATCACCACTTTACACAAAAAAAAACGATTAAACTCTTCTAAAAGTGTTCTAATACATCACCATTTTTAATCTGTGATATCACAAAAACTTTTATAATATCAACAAAATACATACAATATAATTAAGAAATCACGGTTTCACCAAGGCAGTGTTATATTCATAGTTGCCTCGACGCAACGTAATGCTAGGTATATAAATCTGATAATGAGTAGGCTGTTTATATTATACTTTCCTATTTGTAACGTCCAACTAAAAGGCCACGGTACTAAGACTCAGGATGCTGTTAAATACCAACCACATTCGACGAAATGGAATTGAGAAAATATTAACTACTAACACTCATTTTCCTCACTGCTGAGGTAGGAAAAGAAACATTACGTGACATAAAATTGTGAATATATTGCTGCAGCACACCTCTCTTATGTGTAACTAGCAAACCAGTGAACCTAATGTTCACCAAAACCTGATTTCTCGAAAACCGGAAGTGCTACGTTACTCAAAACCGGTTTGTAGTCTTATCAGACTATTCTTAACTTATAACTTAAATATTCTCTTTATCTATCTTTTACGGTTTGGCCGCTGAAACAGCACCACAGACAGACGGACTTATCTAATAGATAAGAGATATTAAATAAAACAGAAAATATAGAGTTTTAGGTATCTGCGAGTGTGATACATTTAAAATGAATTGTTAGTAGCACTCATAACTATTTGTAATTTTGACAACAGATTTATATCTACACTATTATGGAAATGTGGAAATAAAAAGAAGAGATTGACATAATAAAAATACAATAAAAATAGCCCGGACGAAACTGTGGTAATCAATTTAAATTCAATTATTATATACGTTTTATTTATATATTCGTTTAAAAACGTAACGCTTTTGTAAAGCGATACTTTTATTTTAAACCATCCGAATATTTATTCCAAAGTTATGTTTTTAACAATTTTGGCCTCACTGTTTGAACTGTAAATATTAGACAAAACTGGTAGCATTCAACCTGGGTATGGCCAGTTTTTCAATGTATACTGACTGATTATTAGGAACAGGCTCTATAGGATTTCACATCAAGATGTTGGAAATGTTTAAGCTTTATCATTATACTCGTCTTATTTACGATAAATTGGATTCAGTCCAGTGATGTGATTAAAAAGCAAATAAGTCATTAATTACAGGGAACAATTAGTTGCGTATTGATAAATTATATTCGTATTTCGGTGTCTTTGCATCACAACATTTAGCAGCATCGTGAGCCTTTAAGCCGTTACGTTTTAGTTGTAACAATAATATTTCACGCGTTAATTATTTATTTTTTTATTATCAATGTTTTTTTTTAAGTCTCCAGAAATGCTCGAATAAATGTTGCAAATTATTAAGAATTTAATTATACATTTATGTAAGATTTTGAATCTGGAAAGATTATTTTATCTCTATCAGAGTAGTACATATATTTTTCTAATGTAATCATAAGTTTAATTGAACGTCAACTATATCTCCACTGTACCTACTCGTAATATTGTTTTCTTTATTGTATTTTTTTGTTGTGACCTAAGTATGATTCCATATTGGTACAGATTTTATTTATCTATAGTTTGTAAGTCACAATTTAGCATGTAGGGTTGAATTAATATTGTGCCATTGCTTATAATTAATAAAACAGATAAGAGCCGATCTATAGATCGCGTTCTTCTAGTTTATATATACTCAACATTTTGTTCAAATGCTCTCATCAGAGGTTTTATTACGAAACATCTCAGTATCCATGACATTATTTATCTGTACTTTTTGTGTTGAACTTTTATGACGTCTATTCGTATTATCAAGAAAAACATTTATTAGTTTGTAACGCCTACCAAATTTTATATAAACTAAAAAATAGAACTTGCGTTATATGAATTTAACCCGGCGAAGCGAACTTTCTTATTTTTAATACCTCATTTCAAATTTAATGGTCCGTAAAAAATTTAATCTATGAAAACCTCAGACCAAATAAAAAGTAAAGACGGAGTTCTGCCAACAACAAAAGCCGGTTTTTTATGTATGTGTGCATTAGTCAGTGTTGCCATAGTCATTTATAGTACCCCAATAAATAGTTATAACGTTATTTCTTAAAAATTCATAACGTTATTATAAACGTTATAAAATATTAGAAAAAAATATCGTAGGCTTATTCTCCAAATTAGTCCAGATTAGTTGTACACTAGCGCTAGATGCAATCTCTCGTGAACTATGAGCAAAGGTCATGCGCCGTTCTCACCTACAAGTGCCAGACTCCTTTATGGGGCCTCCACCTGAGTGGGAACGATTACATTGTTTTGCCGATTTCTCTGTTATTTTGTAAGAATACCCTACACAAGCTATATGTATTTGGATTCTCCATAAAATTTTCTATAAAACAGTGTGTACACAATGCGTCATGTCTATAATTTATTTTAATTACGTTACGATAAAAAAAAGTCGTTTAGTTGGATAAATGGAGGTATATTTTAAAATTTGTAAATTTAAATTCCAGGTTTTTTGGCTAGTAGTACATTTTATTATAAGTTACCAAATAAAATAATAAAATACCATACTCTCACACTTTTATTTTACGCTATATCATAAACGACACGCTAACACGGAATAGAAAAAAAGGTCGTATTTCAAGTGGTGATAAAAACGAATGCGAAGTCCAACTGCCTTGATTTATGTGGTAACGTTTAGTGGGATTGTTTATTTTACTTTAGTTACAAGTCTCGGATGAATAGCTTTGTTCATTTTACAGTTTCAAGCACTCGCAACAAGTCACTTAAAATCGCGTACCAATCAGTCATCTCAATTTTATGTCGATAAAACGAAAAGTATTTACAATTTTAATAAACAGTTTCTTTTATTAAAATGTAAATGAAATTTGCTACAGAATACACAAAACAATGGTTCATTTCTACTCTTACGAATGACCGCAATCCAGTTCTCTTTTAGATTTTGACCTCGTGAATTTGAATGTAATACAAATTATATATTAATTATAATATATAATTAAGTATAATATAAGTATAATATATAATTTGTATTACATTCCAAAATTTTTATTAGAATACATAAAGAAAAAAGATAATTAAATGAGATAATAAAGATGTTTCTTTTAATTGTTTATCCATGCATTACAATATTCGAATAATATAAAAGTATGCTACACATTATTAATGTATGAAGTAACGTAACGTTATGTTATATTTCACGTTACCCAACAACAGGCAAAAACTAACGTATAATCATGGTACCATTTGGTTCAGGTTTTGTGTTCCAAGCGACAACCTCCAATTTGATTTTGATTAATTGAAAATATCAGTTTATAAGTTTACTTAAGTATGAAATGTGATTCCATCGTGTTATTTATTTTCGGAAGATTGGTTTCTACACATTTTCACTACAAAATTCGGTATTTTCTAATAAATATTGTTACTTATTAATACGTCACGCCCCGCGCGTCGGGATAGCTCTACTGGGAAGCCAAGGCGTAGTTTCGTTGCATGCGTGTGCGTGTAACTGTGTATGTAGTTGCGAGGCGTAGTTTTATCGGCTTCACTTTTTTGATCGGCAGACTCCGTCTTTACTTTTTGTTTGGTCTGAGATGAAAACGTGTCAGTCGTTAGAAAGAGCGAAACCTTTTACGAATCAAGATGTCTACATTCATTGTCAGTTGCCGAAAATGTATTTTTGTGTCAGGCGAAGGCATATCCTGCGGGCCAATGTTGTCTATACACGAAAAAAGTATATACATAACATATTAATATTAAAAAAATATAAACTATATTCTTTTGCATACGATAAGTCCGATACGACGACGATAATACGACAGAGAACCAAAGTCACCGACATAGCCCACCGAATTAGCAAACTGAAGTGGCAGTGGGTTGGTCACATTAGCCGCAGAACTGATGGAGGTTGGAGTCGGAAAGTTCTTGAGTGGAGACCGCGACTCGGTAAACGTAGTGTAGGACGCCCTGAGACAAGATGGGATGATGATATTCGTAGGCTGGCTGGAGCGGGCTGGATGAGAGTAGCACAAAATCGGGAGCAGTGGCGTGCATTAGGGGAGACTAGCGATGGGCGTTGAATTAACGAACGGTTTAAATAGACGGTCTACGTTCAATCGACGCTTCGATGGTCTACAGTTTATTCGTTAACTAGTTGAATTCATAGACGGCTAAACTGAGAGTCCACAGCGTTCATATCAACTGACAACGCGACGTCGACGCGTAAACGTATCTGGTTTACCGGTTACAAGTCCATACGTTCGTTCATTCGTTGAAATAAAGCAATTTGAAACGTAAGCATATGGAGTGGGAGTTGATATTTGTTCGTTTTTTAAACTAGAGTTGTTTGAGTGAAAAGGCAAGAGTATTCTGATATTGCGTGAAAGAGTACGTCGATGGATCTGGCTAAACGATGCAGTTCAGGATGAACGGGTTTATATTTATTGAAATTTCAGTGAAATTAGTGTGTCGCGAGGTCAAGGTCAAGGGACACGTGAATGCGAATTTAGTGCAAAGTTCGTTTGAATTGAATGATTATTTTATGAGTTTAATTTGTGATTTATTTTGTAAACATTTAAATGACTATAATGTAAAGTGAATACTAAATAAAGACCCCGTCGTCGTCGTTGCGTCGCGCCCGTAGACCAGTCACCGCGTAGTTGATATGAACCCCTCAACGCTTGCCGTTATCACGTCAACTAGTTGAAGAATTCAACTAGTTGATCGACTAGTCGATGGACGGTAGTAGACGGTTTAGTTTCGTCGATGAAAAATACGTCGACGACCCACCTCTAGGGGAGACCTATGTCCAGCAGTGGACGAACATGGGTTGATGATGATGATGATACGATAAGTTCTCAAAATAGTCGAGCACATAGTCCGATTAATGCATGCAAACTTTAACTACGTACTAGCGCACAGACAACAGTATCGGTTCGTTTAAGCCCATTGTAGTTGCTTCCAGTCAAAACAAGCTCTTTTTATGCTGATATGATACTTAGGAAACTGTCAGGCGAGTATAGCGTTTAAATTAATCGTATAAAGTTAGTTTGCTACGAGTTATATAGTATGCTTCGAATTTCAGCTGGCCGTAGGTAAGGTGCATGCGTACCATTCTATTTTCTTAAAGTTCTCGTAGGAGTACGGTAATATGCATATTTACGCGCACTAATGTGGAGTATTTGGCAATGAGTAGGTACTCCAAATTTTTAACTGAGCGAAGAGGTGCCGATGCTTGCCCTAATTAGAAATGTATAAAATTACTACATAAAGTAGGTTAGGTAGCTATCGTATTTATTAATGGAATGGAACTGACTTATTCTATATTAAATCCAGATTAATTCTGACACTGCAATTATATAGAAATGCTGCGTAGGAACAGCAACTATGTTATAGGAGAATCGTAATTACTCCATTAAATAGAGCTCGGTTAATTTGACACCAGAGGAAGATTCATGTTAGCGTCACGGATTCAAAACTTGATGTACGTTTAGTAAGAAGCAATTTATACTTATATGTTCCGGGTACAAGTAATATCGATCGAATTTGACAACGATACAAATTTATTGTGCTTTTAGGTGCATTACTTCGCACCATTAAAAATTAAAACGACTAAGTATATGAACGAGGCGTGCACAACTGCATACAGCACCGCCAGGCCCGGTATGGTCTAATATGAATCTTAATCCATATTTCCATACGAAACGCAATTATATATATACAAAAAACTTGATGTAAATTCTATAAATATTGGTCAGGTGCTATCTTTGTAAGTTACAACGCGTGATAATAAATTATAGCAATGAACTAGTACATATTCGTATTTCGTGTTATTAGCTTAGCAATTACATTTTCTGTAATCGAACTCGGCATAGTGGATATCGGGTAATTACTTATTATATTGTTCAGCGTGTGGTGTATGCCTTTGTTTAGTTACAGCGTACGTTTCAGAGAAACTATTATTCGTGATATTAACTGAAATAGAGGCTTCAATATAGATAGATAATGAGGGCTTCAATATAGATAGATAATGAGGGAAATATTAGATTATCCGATATCAAAGTTCGTTTTCCGATGGTGTTACTCGATGCCCAACATTTAGTTACTACTTTTCAAACCTAATGCATCCCATGTTAAATCATATCTACTGTGTACGCGTTATGAAATAAATTCTGTGACAGCTCAGCTTACTATTTTGTCCAAAACTAACATATAGGTAAATGTTGCTCGATTTTATATTTCGCCGTATTATATGACTTATAGTCTTATTGAAAAATGGAGCTTTGTAATATTGCCAGATCGACGATAAGTCGAATTGCATTAGATCTAAACGAGTTCGCCGTATTGTACACAGTACAGGACTTGTAACGTTCTTTGATTTGCCAAGCAGAGAAGAATCTCAGTTTTTAAAACACCTAGCTGGTATGTAATGCGGCCAAATCTACAATCTGACTGTTATATAAATAACTAGACTCACAATCGTTTTGTGTTTTGTGACGTTTCTATGAAAATTGAGCAGAGCGCCCCTACGTAAGGAAAAACTGGCTACTTTCGTACAAAATTGGTCGATACAAAGTCACGAGTCAAAGTTCGTGGGCTTGGGCCTCTGGTCACGTCATCGCTTGGTGACGAGATGCCCAGTGAACTTGTTTAGAACAAAATCGTGAGTCTAGCTTTTTATCAAACCTCGTTAAATTAAGGCTGCTACAGAGGATACACTTTCGCTACGCATATCGCCCTTATTGCTAAGAGTTATATAGTTAGAGCCTTTGTCGACGTTAACTATTATTCACGAACTTTGCCTAGATAAACAACCATTTTTTTTTCGATATTTCGTTAAAGTAAATTGCCTTATCAGAAATATAAATTCTTTGAATAAATATAATGCTGTATCATCTCTCCGTAGCAAATGGTCGTAGTTTCCTATTTATCTATAACTTCTCATATCATTATATTGTGATTTTTTTTAAATAACTTTCATTATCGTCTTTATGAAATAAATGAATTCCTGTAGCGATGTAAGAAGATAATAAGATATCGAATATTATATCACTCCTATTACAGAATATTAATATAAAATACAGTCGTTATTTTTTCACCGACCATTTAGAATGATGGCAGATAGTAGTGTAAATAGCCAACATATTTTATAAAGCCGAAGCGAGCAGAGCTTATCTTTTATGTTCTACTATTTGTATGTAGGTACGTTTTATAGCTAGATTGAAAATACCAGCACGACTAAAAATATTCCTTTCTAAACGATTTTATTAAGTTTGCCTTGTTTAATTTTGAAACGGTTACGCTTCACACAGTAGTTTATTCTCGTTTAAAAGCGAGAGATTGTAGCTTATTTTATGACTGTAGGTAGGCAAAATAACTTTCTTATATTTTCAGAGCGACGATTCGCGAGATAAACAGGACGATTTTACAGTATCTTTTTGATAAAGGAAACTCTGACTAGTTAATTACCGACACTAAAAACATTTTGATATTTTTCAACGTATAAATAAAATGTAATTGAGCGCAGACCTCGATTAGTTGAGCGCGTGGACCGTACGTGGGGACTTTCAACTTTTTTTAAACTGTCTGCAATTTAATGTGATGTTAGGAATAAATTAATTAGACTAAAACTTACTTGATTCCAGTAAGAGGTCTAATAGGTTTTTAAGAATTATAGGACTGTTGTGATGCGATTGATTGTACGTGATAATGTGAAGGCTACTTACAAATGATTTTATCCATTTGGATATAGTCCCGAAAGTATATTAATCATTTAAATAAATATATTTTAATAGGACTGCCGGAAAAAATATACAATGTTAGTCTTAAGATGGAGAGACAGTTATTATTGAGAATAACATTTGTTTATTTATTCTCTTAATACAAAATTCGGGATATCGGTCTTCTCCTTTAGTCTTTTCAGCTTCAATTATAATCTGTGTTTGTACCAAAGTATTTTAGGTTCAAGAGGCCTAGTGAATCTATTGCGGTGCTGAGACTGCCGCCGCGGTAAGGTCTAGAAAACTTAGTCTTGCGCCATTACCTAGATCTCGCCGTTCCAAGTCCGGTTACGAGGTAGTTCATAGATGTAGACAAACAATAATATATACGGAACAAAAAAAACAGGTAATAGATCTGTGGTATTCAGCTATTCCAACTGTATTGATTGATTAACATGAATTTATTTATAAAATCAGCGGGATTGACATTTTAATTCATAAAATCACGATTTACGTGTGCATTTATCAGTGGCCTTCAGTTGTTGCGGAAACTGGCACATGAGTCCTCAATGGACATAGAGACAATATGTAGTTAGTAGGATTGCGAGTTCGTCTGCGCTCCCGTAATCACCGTTTGAGCGCGCCGGGCGGGCCGCAACCGAATGCCAATCGTTCCACGGCAACCCATATAACGTTAACTACTACGGTTTAGACAGCTCTGTATGTAACTAATACTCAATAGTTATCGACGTTACAATATATCTGCATATTATTATGCTATTCTATTTTCTAGAAATCCTCTTTTTAGAACGTTCTGAAATACATAGATCATTAAAGCATGTCAATTACCGAACGAGTAATGTCTACAAAAGTCATTGTTACTTGAATTTGAATCAATCGAATCAATTATTCCCAATAATAATTTAACCATCACCTCTTTTATATTTACATAGTACTTATATCCAAATTTGATATTATATTCTGCGTTTTTTTAGATTAATTTACGAACTTTATAATCCCTATTGATAAATCTTTAAATAGAGATCAAACGAGAGACCGATTACATTGGTGTGTAAAGAATATTATACACTATTGTGTATCGTGAATTAATTACTGCATATAAATTGAAAGACAATATAGCATAACTAGCATTATGTGAATTAATACTTTTTAATTATAGTTATGCTGTATTGTATGATGAAGAATGATGATAGATCTGACTCGGAAGTAAATGTGAAAGCTACAAGTGCGATGACTTATTAAATTTTGTAAACATCTGACTCCTTCATTAAAAGTTATCTGCTCTAATTACAAATATTATTATCACATAGTAGCGGGAGCCGTTTCGTTAAAACCTAAGTTTTTTTTGAGGTTCCTTAATGTACCTATAGGCACTTATTTTATCTTATAAGTCATGACATAATTTGCAAATTTTAGCTTAGTCATTTTAATTATTGAGTACGAGAGACAAATTACATTGGTGTGTTACAGACGTTAACATATTTTGTGTCCAGTTTCTCTCACTTTACACACTTTCTTTGATGATCAAAAAGTGTGCGATGTCGCTAACTGGAAACTTAAAGTCGTCAGTTGAAGACATAAGCAACATTAACAATATTCCTTATAATTGTACTGAGCTGAGCCGCCACTGGACACAGCAACTACGGTTAACAGTGACCAGGGCGTAAATTCTGCTAAGTTAAAGTTGGGATAGTCCGGTTGACTAGACCATGGTTATTTTCTTTTTACAGTAGCATAGTTAACGCGACAAGTGGTAATTTTTCTTAACAATTGATAAATTGACTGAACAGATTTTTTTATATTCCATAGTACAATGAAGTGGACCATCGTACCACAGTTAATTTATTATTGCGATATTACAGTTAACCGGACTAAGATAGTTAATCGAGATTCAGTAAAATTGGTGCAAGCGGGCCTTCTGTAATGTAACCGTTACTTTTTGTTTTTCGGATCCTTGGCACCTAAATTTATGATAAAGTCGTGATTTTGAGTATTTCTATGCTATATCCCGGGGCTTAGCAGCTTGTTTGGGCACGACAATTTAATTTTTTTAGAGTCGACGTGACCGCGTCTCTCTTTCTCGCTACAGTTGTATTGTTGTAATTT